TATACAATGTATATTTTTTTTTTGTCATTATATTTTCTATTAAACAGCATACACAGACCTGGTGAGTTGTTTTCTTCCTTGGATTCTGGGATACCCATGGATTTTTTCCCCTTTCTTTATCTGAATGTAATTTTGGCTTTTCTTTTAACTGATTTAAGGGGGATGTACAAGCCATATTGGATCTGTTTTGGTGTAAAATAAGAAATACCAAGAGTGCGCTTAATACTCTACCAAACTAGCCCAAATGCTAATGAACTCATTACCTACTGTTAGAGACCAAACTTAGTAAATAATTAAGTTTATTTTGTTTAAATTAAGAGAAAATTAATCTTGTTAGAACTGTGCAGCTACAACATTCACGAGATGAAATATGCATTAAAAATGATATCATTTCGATTCATTGATAATATGGCAACAATCATTTGTTTCGTTTTTTTTTTTCTTATCCTTGTCCATCATTCTTGAAAATTTGATTTTTCATATGGGGGTCTTCCTGAGGCCATGTCCTCTTTTTATCCGCCATTCCTATGTCAAACAGAGTTTAAATAACATTGGTTTTAGAATAAATGCGACCATAACAACATCAAGACAAGAAATTACTAAGTAATAATACTTAGGTTAAATAACTTACTACTGTTATTTGTTGTATTGCATCGTCTGATTAATGAAAAAACGCGATTTTATCCCCACTCCAGCAAATCAGAAAAAAACTGTTCTGTTAATCGCTCGAGTTTCCTCGTTCATATTATTCCACTGAGCACGTGGTTGGAATGTGCATATATCTTCTGTGGATAGATGCGTTTATTACGATGATTATATTTAATTTTCCATGGAACAAATCTTGATAATTTGTTGATTCCTTTAAAACTCAAGAAAAAAGATAAAAATTGTCCTAAACATATGTGTTTACTGCGGATCTCTTTTCTGTGGCGATAGAAGCTATTTTTCAAATGGGGCTCTGCAAGGAGGATGCTTAGCTTTTTTAATTAGAAAATGTTGAACAATATGCGGTACATGGATAACAAATTTTAATTACATGTATTACATTAGACAAGTTGGTACATATGTCAATTTTGTTCAGCAGTTAGATAGAAAAATTACTCAGTTATAGGATTTCCTTCAGGCACCTCACAGAAATAGAGATTGTTTGCGATGGTCAACACATTGTATATGGAGTAATGTTTTGGACATAAAGACACATCATGTCTCATTATATTGACAAGGTTGTAAGCTCTCACCAACATGTAAGTTTGATAAAATATATTGAGTTAATTGTTTCTTTGAAATTTAGAAGAGAGCACAATGTTTGCAAAGAAAGGTCCATTGCTTATGCTATGTCTATTTTCGCAAAAACTAAGAACGTGGGATCCCCACCCCCGAAAAGCCAATGTTCTTTTTCAAAATAGTGCCAAAGCTGCAGAAATTTTGCATCACTAAGCTTGTGATGAAACATGAACTAGCCTTATATTGGTAAAAAAATTTTGGTTGCCCCTCTCCCGACCTTCATTTTTTTTACATCCCATTACACGATTTTTTTCTTTGTATTTCGTTAATAAATATGTTTAAATTTTAAGGAATTTTTTTTTTCTCACCTATCAAAATGGACCCAATAATTTTTTACTCAGTCGGGAGGACCACCAAACATCATTATAAAGATGGTCTAACATATATTTAATTATGTTGATTTTTTTCTTTACTCTGTAAAATTTAGCAAATTAAAATAAAAGTTTTTATGCGGTAAATCTCCTAACCCACTCTGAAATGGTGCTCCGATGTGATGAAAATTGTAAATGTTTATTTGATATACTACATTGTATTAAAACAAGATCATTCTTAACGATTTTATGTGTTTATTTTCTTTTTGTTTCATTAAAATTTTGGTAGATAAAATGTTATCCGTGTCAGACTTACAAATTCTAAATTCTTAAATTTGATTGTGCTCATCAAAGAGTTGAAGATTTTTTTTATATCAACACGTACATAATTTAACAACTGTGCATAATACCATTTATTATTTTAAGTCACAATTTAACACAATTCCTATTTTAAAAGTATTCATATTATTTAAAACATTTTGCAACTGTAATTCTCTTCTACTTTTTAAGATTATTATGTACCTACATATTAAGAAAGAGGTCTGGAAAAAAACATTTTGTGCTAAAAATAGACCGCGTGCTGCTCTCAATGAACTACTTTCATGGTTCTTTGCACTCATTTTGAAGACAACAGTACCTTGTTTTGAACTTACCATTGAAAAGTGCAAAATTTAGACATTTTCTAAACAAATGGTTGTAGAGAGAACATTAATGCACGCTTTGCATTTTTTTTTATTTTTTAAGGATCTGCTGAATTCTACAGCTGCGCAGTTCTAACGTGCATACCAAAAGCATTTTTCTGCAATAGTATAGATCATATAGATAAAACATGCATTCAATTGTGCATATTTATTGTATCTTTATCATAAGGACTTGAAATATGATCAAAATAAAATGCATTTTAGCCATTTGAAAAAATGTTTACATTTTGTTCTTATTGCACTAAAGGTGGCCGGACATCCCCCCTAAGGGGAAGAAGAACATCTAGTTTAAAAAAATGTCACTTAATTTCTTTCAAATTACGTATATTATTCAGTAGATATGCCCCATATATTTCAAATCTGTTGTATCATTAGTTTTTTTTTTATTTCCTAATTTTTGAGATATTGATTGATAAATAACGTGCCCTACAGTATGTAAGTGAAGGTCTGATTCTCCATGTTTACAGATACATTATTCTGTTACTAATGAAAATTTTTCAGCAAAGATAAAAACAAAAGGTCGAAAGGCCTTAAACCGCTCTTCTGATAAATTGTACAACCTATAACTTGTATTTGAAGCCTCAAACTATCCGGAATATTTAGATCAAACCTTGAAAATTCGAAGCTAGGTCATCATGACCTGCATTTTGGTTAAAACACTCTAAGAACCCTAGATGAATCAACTCACAAAAATGGATGATTAAATCTTTTCATACTAAAAATATTTAGATAATTCATTAATCATCAAATGGTATGTCATAGTGACCTAATTTTCAGTTGAAATTCTCCGAGAATTAAAGATGCATCATCTTAAAAGAGTTGATGATTTTAAGCCAAGTAGTACCTAAGTATTTAGATATAGTGTAAAATTTTCAAAAGTATGACAAAGTGACATACTTTTCACTTGACGTTCTCTGAGTACCCAAGATGCATCAAATGAAAAAGTTTGATGACTGTGAGCCAATTAGTACAATTCAACCTTAAATAACCAAAATTTCAAAGTAACCATACAATTTCAAAATTAGGTCAATGTAACCTTGATTTTAGCTGAATACTTTAAGGACTCAAGATGCAACAACTGACAAAGTTTGATTATTCTAAGACAATAGGAACTTTGAATATAGCTATAAAATTTTAAAGTAGGTCAAGGTGACCTACTTTTCAGTTGACATCATCTGAGGACCAAAAATGTATCAACTTACAAAGTTTTATGATTCTAAGACAATGTGCATGAAGCTATATTTCTTTAAAAGTAGGTCAAAATGAACTATTTTTCACTTGACGTTTTCCGAAGACCCAGACTGCATCAAGTGACAAAGTCCGATGATTCTAAGACAATTAGTACCTGAAAGTATTTGAATATACCCAAAATTGAAAAGAAGAGCATGTTGACCAACATATTACTCGGCGTTTTTCAAGGACCAAGATGCATCAACTGACGACAAAGTTTCAAGCTTTTAAGCCAGTTAATACCTGAAATATTTAAATATGCCAATAAAGTATTAAAAGTAGGTCATGGTGATCTACTTTACAGTTAACGTTCTCCGAGGACCTAGGATGCATCAACTGACAAAATCTGATGATCATAGGCCCTAAAATGTCCAAATTATGCCTCTGAAATAATTTGAAAGCAAATACTTGCGAATTTGAAAAAAAGGTTACCTTAACATTATTTTTTGATAAATTTGTTTTAGGCCCCAAGATGCATTAACTTAAAAGCTTTAATCCTACCCCTTTTAAACGTAGTAAGAAAAATATCAGAGTTTTAACATAACATAATTTTTGGTTATTTTTGAAGTGACCCCGAGAACACACTTTTTGCCTTATGGTAATCCCCTGAACATTCTTTAAAATACAGGATATTCTTATCTTTGTGTTTAAAATTGATAATCTGCCAATTGGTTCTTGAGAAGAAGATGTTTTAAGAACCAGTACTTCTGTTTTATTATCCTAATTATCTCCTCTGTTTAAAGGTCTCATCTTTTTTTAGTACAAATGAGAGTCCCTGATCCGAGGATACTCTTTGATAAACCATACAAAAATCGGCCTAGTGATTCATGAGATATCGCCCATATTCTAAAACGTTTGTGCATACCACACAACCCCATGTGGCCATAGCATTTGCTCTTTGATCCTTTGGTTCAGAAGAGCTGAAATATGTAAGTTGACATATATCTTTTAAAATATTTCAGATTATGAATAGGATCTAAATTTAGAAATGCATGTGTCCTTTCTCATACTGCATCTGGACTTCTAAGATATAATATTTAAATATGAATGGGTGCAAGAGACAACCTTCATATTAAAATTCATATCTTGTACGTTATTCTTTTAGGGAAGGGGTTGAGTTGTTTTTTTTTAATCAGTTACTGTAAATACTACCGGCTAGAAGGATATGAACAATTAATCAAAATTACACTGAGAGAGGAAAGCAAGATAATAAAAAAAATCCGATAAAAAAGAAAAAAATAAGAAAAGCATGGACTTAGTAAATGTCAGAGAGCAGACACATGTACGTAGTCGATTTAATCGTACTACATGTATGACTTGTTAACAGGTCAAGACTAAGGTTACAACAGGTTGTATAGTAATATTTAAGTGTTAAAAATCATACCTACATTTTATTGAAATAATTGCTAATGAATATATTGTTTGAAAATATATACTGTATCTGTTCCGAAAATATAAAAACAACTAATTTTATTTACAGGAAAAGAGACTAGAAATGAACAAATACACACAGAATATGAAGGGATTCAGCAAAAAAGAAGATTATTACATGGACTATGTAACGAAAAATTAATTTAGTGTTTTCTCCTAACAAATAATGTTAATAATAATTATAATGATATATTTTTGATATTTGTCTGCTGGTCAACTCTAAAATGATTTAAAAATAAAATTTGCAAAATTAACTATACCTGAAATCAACTTTAAAAAAATAAAATGAAATAACGTTCCATTCTTACTACTGGTTTTCAACAGAAAAAAAAAAGATTTGCTAAAGTCACTCTGTCCAAAAACCATATTCTCTAGATCTAATGTTGGTATTTAAAGGATACTTAAATTTCTCATTGACACTATCTAATGTGACTGTTTACTACTGTGATACATGTAAGTGGTTGATGTATAAGACATAAATATTCACACATTTCGACATTAGATGGAAGTATTTCCTAACAGATTTTTTTAAACTTCATCATTATTTTGTAATCCATTATTTTAAGTATTTTAAATCAATTCATGCAAAATGTCTGTCCTTTTTTATTCCAAGGGGGTGGAAGGTGATGAAGATTATGATCAGGTAAAAGTTTAGAGATTTCTTCCCACATATGAACGACTCAAGAATTGAAACACACAAAATAATCTTTTCACTTTTCATGAACGTTAGTCTCTCTTTCTTAAAGGTACAGTTGCAGTCAAGAGAAACACGAAACATCGAGCAATGGACTTCTATGGAGACATCATCCAACGAGAGACTCCAAAGAGGTCCATGAAGCTTGTTCTGGTGGTACTTTTGATCATAATTCTTCTCCTAGGACTTGTCGCAACGAGTGTATTACTTTTTCTTGAGAAAACAAAAATCAATGGTAATTCATTCTACCGCTCTATATTTAAAATGCCTTGGGGGAAAAGAGTTTGCACTAACGGGGTTACCTTCTTTTTCTTAAAAGTGTTATTATCCAAGATGAATTCATATTTAAGGCAAGTATTGCCGATCTAACATTTGAATATCATTTGAATAATTTTAACAAAGCAAGTTACAAAAGAAGTACTGACTACTGTTTTATTTTACTGAATGGACCATGGCTGATAAAAAAGGAGCAAAGGCGTCAGTATACTGCCTTTCAATGGCATCCCTAAAACATGTCAATCTTACAACAATTGTCGAATATTTGACCAGTCCATATTAGAATGTGCAATTTAAAGTTTAAGAAGTCCCATAACCTTACTGGAGCTTGTACGCCCAATATCCACCACAGTAACTGTAGAGTATATACATTTGTTACCAGTAGGCATGTGACAAAATTTTATAATTGCAAAATGTAA